TTTCTTGAGGAAGGAACCATGCAAAATTTTTGCAGAAGAGGCCCTGCATCTCCCCCCAAGGAACTTACCATGACAGAAACTCGCCATGTCAGCAATGGAGAACACACAGTTTTTATTTTCTGTTGTATCATGAAGCCATCACAACCACCCCCTATGTGATATATCCTCCAGCAACACGGGCTTAGAGACCCCGTTGAGTTTGCGATGAACATTCGCGAGACGGCGACACAAGTTAAGGATGTCGGTCTCATACACATTTGAACCAGTAGCATCGAATCAAACCCCTGGCCATCTCAAATTTTTTCTTGAACGAGATGCTATGAATAGGACATACGGCACTCCTATACGGATTCCCACACCCCGCTCCCAACCTTGGTTATCGACGCCCAAAAAGAGTGCACAATATAGATGGCGGGAACCGTGCTTCGTTATTGCAGGGACCCAGCCCGCTCTGGACGAGGAACCTTCCGTTTGCGCTTGAGGAACATTCATCGAGCAACACAAGGAATAGTTGCCCCATAGATTCGTTTTATAAAGCAACATCGTCTATGCACGTTTAGGGAGTACCCAGGAGAATAGAGCAAAGAACCACATCACCGATGGAGAGGATGCAGCTTTTAATTTCAGATATACCCTCAAGCAACACGACAATGTCAGGATCATTTGGTAGAACTGAAATCGCCCCCCCCCATCATTTGTTTCTTCGTCTCGGTCGAGACGCGTGAAAACAATATGTATATATGGATGGGTGTGCCGTCTCCTTGCCAGGGTCAAAACCACATGCATATGACGCCGGAACCCCACCATGGCAAAAATGGATGTTGGTTTCACAGACGTCTTATCCCGTATCGCCGAATGGATACCAGCTGTCATGTAAATTTCTTGCCTTTGTCAAGACGTGACAAACCATATTTACATGGACGGGCGAGTTTTCTATTTCGCACAATCAAAATCATACGACCGCAACGCGGGCCCTATTTATCTATTCCAATACACCCACACAGGCCTCCGCCGTCTCGATATAGCGAGAGAACTATACTTCGTCCTGCCGGAACCTCAACACGCCCCGACGGTGGAACCCTCTTTTCTCGAGGAAGGAACCGTGCAACATTTTTACAAATGAGGCCCTCCATCATACGACCGCACGATCAAAATCATACGACCGCAACGCGAGGCCTCTTTATCTATTCCAATACACCCACAACGGCATCCGCCGTCTCGAGAGAGCGAGAGAACTATCATTTGTACTGTCGGAACCTCAACACGCCCCGAGGGGGGACCCTCGTTTCTTGAGGAAGGAACCATGCAACATTTTACAGAAGAGGCCCTTCATCTCCCCCAAAGGAAGTTACCGTGATAGAAACTCGCCATGTCAGCAATGGAGAACACACAGTTTTTAATTTGTGTTGTATCATGAAGCCACCACAACCACCCCCTATGTGTTATATCCTCCAGCAACACGGGCTTAGAGACCCCCCTGAGTTTGCGATGAACATTCATGAGACGGTGACACAAGTTAAGGATGTCGGTTTCATACACATTTGAACCAGTAGCATCGAATCAAACCCCTGGCCATCTCAAATTTTTTCTTCAACGAGATGCTATGAATAGGACATATGACACTCCTATACGGATTCCCACACACCGCTCCCGACCTTGGTTAACGACGCCCAAAAAGAGTGCAGAATATAGATGGCGGGAACCGTCCTTCGTTATTGCAGGGACCCAGCCCGCTCTGGACGGGGAACCTTCCGTTTGCGCTTGAGGAACATTCATCGAGCAACACAAGGAATAGTTGCCCCATAGATTCGTTTTATAAAGCGGCATCGTCTATGCACGTTTAGGGAGTACCAAGGAAAATAGAACAAAGAACCACATCACCGATGGAAAGGATGCATCATTTAATTTCCGATATACCCTCAAGCAACACGATAATGTCAGAATCATTTGGTAGAACTGAAATCGCCCCCGCATCATTTATTTCTTTGTCTCGGTCGAGACGCGTCAAAACAATTTGTATGGGTGGGTGTGCCGTCTCCTTGCCACGGTCAAAACCACATGCATATGACGCTGGAACCCCACCATGCCAAAAATGGATGTTGGTTTCACAGACGTCTTATCCCGTATCGCCGAATGGATACCAGCTGTCATGTAATTTTCTTGCCTTTGTGAAGACGTGACAAACCATATTTACATGGACGGGCGAGTTTTCTATTTCGCACAATCAAAATCATACGACCGCAACGCGGGCCCTATTTATCTATTCCAATACACCCACACAGGCCTCCGCCGTCTCGATATAGCGAGAGAACTATACTTCGTCCTGCCGGAACCTCAACACGCCCCGGCGGGGGAACCCTCTTTTCTCGAGGAAGGAACCGTGCAACATTTTTACAAATGAGGCCCTCCATCATACGACCGCACGATCAAAATCATACGACCGCAACGCAAGGCCTCTTTATCTATTCCAATACACCCACAACGGCATCCGCCGTCTCGAGAGAGCGAGAGAACTATCATTTGTACTGTCGGAACCTCAACACGCCCCGAGGGGGGACCCTCGTTTCTTGAGGAAGGAACGGTGCAACATTTTACAGAAGAGGCCCTGCATCTCCCCCAAAGGAAGTTACCATGACAGAAACTCGCCATGTCAGCAATGGAGAACACACAGTTTTTAATTTGTCTTGTATCATGAAGCCACCACAACCACCCCCTATGTGTTATATCCTCCAGCAACACGGGCTTAGAGACCCCCCTGAGTTTGCGATGAACATTCGCGGGACGGCGACACAAGTAAGGGATGCCGGTTTCATACACATTTGAACCAGTAGCATCGAATCAAACCCTTGGCCATCTCAAATTTTTGCTTCAACGAGATGCTATGAGTACGGCACACGACACTACTATACGGATTCCCACACACCGCTCCCGACCTTGGTTATCGACGCCCAAAAAGAGTGCACAATATAGATTGCGGCAATATCAGAATCATTTGGTAGAACTGAAATCGCCCCCTATCATTTGTTTCCCTCGTCTCGGTCGAGACGCGTCAAAACAGTATGTATATGGATGGGTGTGACGTCTCTTTGGCACGGCCAAAACCACATGCATACGACGCCAGAACTCCACCATGGCAAAATGGATGTTGGATTCACAGACGTCTTATCCCGTATCGCCGAATGGATCCCCGCTGTCATGTAATTTCCTTGCCTTCGTCAAGACGTGACAAACCATATATTATATGGACGGGCCAGTCTTGTCCTTCGCACGATCAAAATCATACGACCGCAACGTGGGCCCTCTTTATCTATTCCAATACACCCACAACAGCCTCCGCCGTCTCAAGAGAGCGAGAGAACTATCATTTGCACTGTCGGAACCTCAACCCGCCCCAGTCGGGGAACCCTCTTTTCTTAAGGAAGGAACCGTGCAACATTTCTACAGAATAGGCCATGCATCTCCCCCCAAGGAACTTACCATGTCAGAAACTCGCCATGTCACCAATGGAGAACACTCAGTTTTATATTTGTGTGTGTATAATGAAGCCATCACTAACCACCCCTATGTGTTATATCCTCAAGCAACACGGGCTCAGAGACCCCCTGAGTTTGCGATGAACATTCGCGGGACATAGTTTTAAACATAGTTCGCAGCTCGTGACCCTAGTTCAAACATAGTTTTAAAAATACAAATCCATGTACTTCGAATTTAGTTTCAAGACATGCGAAATTTAGTTACGTGGGCTAATTATACGACACTTTTTTTTATTAAAATGATCAAATTGTGAAAAAAGCACGATGGCTCAAGCACACTAGAGTGCATGTGTTTAAGGAGTTCAAAAGGCAATATAATCTGTTATTGCCATTCTTTTAAAAACGTAGCACCCAAAAAGAACGCCACTGCGCAAACAACAGATGTGATTTTGTTACAAATGAAAAAAAAATATAACGGCTTTGAAAACGCAAACCGATTTGATGTTCATTACAGCGGAGAAAAGGGAACAGTGCACCGAACATGATTTCTAAAAAAATTTATTGCGGTATAAAAATATATTGCACATCACACGAGTCCACGCCAAGCGCGTTCTAAGTCGGCAAGCAAAGGGCAGCCTGGGTGGCTGTGAAAACGGCTGCGGCTACAGTGTCGACACGGGCGTGCAAAGGGAAGCCTGGGTGGCTGTGAAAACGGCTGCATCACGGGCAAGATGCATGTACTGCATGACGGGGGTCGGGGGCAGCAGCAAAAATATAAGAAGATCAGGCCAAAAGGGGTGGGGCGTCGTGCATGGGCTGGTTTTGACCCGGGAAGGGCCCGCTGAAAAGTAGAACAGGAGTAGGGACTAGGGGCAGCAGAAAAAATACGAAAATTATACTTGGCAAAGTCAAACAAAAAAACTGCACCGGCCAAACAACTTAACTCATGAGTCCTCGAATCCCGGGTTCAGAGCTTCCTTGGCCTTATTTTGTCGGGATCTACTTGTAGGTATTGATCGTAGGCATGGAGGATGGCCCGTGATCGGATTCACTAGGAGGCTTGAAGAAATATACCCGGCTTCTACCTTCCACACGAGGGCGGAATTTTACTTTCCTGCTAGAAGCCCAGACAGTAGCTCGAGCTCGACGAACTGCAATCCCCTAGTCCGGCGGCACACAGCAGATCTAAGGTATGATTTCCTCCCTAAAGTGTCTACATCGAAACCAGTTGACGATTCCACTCTGAGCTGCTGGAGCTAACATCCAGTGAATGCCGTAGTCATTTCTACGGCGCCCCGTGCACATGCTCCCGCTAGATTACTTTTCTTCATCCGCAAATTTTTCCCCCTAAGCATGCACACTACGGTCCTGTGATGTACATCCTTACTTCGTACGTTCATCATTCTCCCAATTGCAGCGAACAAAGGGCTGTCAATTCACAAGTAGTTAGGTGGCATGCACCGACGAGTGTATTTGTCTTCTGATTGCATGAAACATTTTCTTACACTTGCATTTTTGGCAGCCAGGATGGATGGCTACGGGATACCAGCTTCAGGGCCGAGACCACCCCAACGATTCGACGACGCATCCTCTGAATCGGAAGAAGAGGAGGGGATCGGTTTCCCGGCTGGGGGTGGCGTTGCAGAGTCCGAGTCAGACGAAGAAGATCAGAACCAACGCAATGGAAAAGCGCCTGCAATCAGCTCGAGATGCAGCGTAAAAAAGCTTCATGATTTGCTGGCGTCTCTTGAGATGGATTTTAGGGGGCTGCTGGAGCTACCAAAGATAACCAAGACGGATAGGCATTTCTTAATGTCTATTTTAGGTCACATAGACGAGGAAGCAAGTTCCATCACTATCGATCACAAGCGCGACGTGCAGTTCTATGACGAAGATGTTCACACTGTCCTTGGCATACCTTGCGGAGCTGCGCCTGTTAGAGATGCAGGTCATCATGTTTCAGAGGAGGTGCTCACACTGATCAGAGGCATGTTTGGTATCGGACCAGGAGAGCACAGCATTTTGCCAATTGTTGAAGCAGTGAAGATGACATACGGCCGCCGTATGACTGTGGGTGAGAAGAACAAATTCAAAGTGGGGCTGGTGATATGCGCATGCACATACCTCCTTGCTCCAACGCTGGAGAACGACTACTTCTGCACCGATTACTGGGGCGCGTTGGCCACACCTGATCTCATACATATGCACAAATGGTGCAGATACACACGAGAAGAGCTGCTGGTTGCGGCTAAAAGGGTGAAGGCAGATCTCTTAGGAGGCCGTCAGAAGTCAAACCTGTCCGGGTGCCTGCCATTTATACAGGTGACGCTTCAACACGGTCTTATATAATGCGCAGCCAATTTTTTCGTTTGGAATTTCGCCTTAGTTTGACATGTGTTTCCTGATGTCCACGTGTGCCACCACCCACCCCCCCCCACACACACAGGTGTTCTACGTCGATAACCTAGACGCTGCAGAGAACAACATCGACCACACGGTATGGCCTAGGGTGAAAGTGTACACCTACACTCTTATGAAAACAATAATTCAGAAGGATGTCAAATCACGCAAAGGAGACTACCCCGTTGTGTATGGCAGGCTGCTGGTGAGATTTCCAACTATGCAAGTTTTTTCACACCCCCCGTCCCAGCCATAGTGCAGCGTTCTTACCAATTTTTTTTGTGTTTGATTAAACCATGATGACCAAAAGCCAAGGGCGGAAACAGAAGTCTGTTACCATAGAAACCCTATGAACAGGAAGATTGCCGCGGGCACATCAACGGGCACGGCCCACGGACGCCCAGTCGCATCGGGCTGCAGTTCGATAGACATAAAGGAGGTATAGCACGGCACAAAAAATTCAGACACGCAAAACGGTTGGGAAATTGCCACGATGAACAAGGAATCTGACCCTTTTTGCATGTTAAAAATTGTTTACACCGTGCAGGCATCTTATATTGTCTTGGGCAAAATATCAAAGTTCACATCCAGGTGCGAAGAAGTGCTTCTTTCAACTGCAAGGAAGAAGGAAGAGGAAAATCACCGCCATTTCAATGCGCTAAATAGCCTTGAAAATTCAGCTCAGCACACAATCAAGAGGGAGGCGAAAAGGGTGAGAGACGGGTTCTTTTCGTTCTTCTCAATTATCGAGAGGCAAGACGCCGAGATGAGGACAAGGAGGAATGACACAAGTCAGTAATGAAATGAAATTTCTCTTCCTATCACGTTCAGCATGTCTGCAGAATATGTATTTGATCGACTTTTTGTAAAGGAGTTCTCTTTTGTAATAATTATGCAGGTAACAATGGCAACTCCACGGGGGGCCGCGGCGCATCCCCAATAACACACTCACCTGGACCTGCAGCTAGCAATGCTGCCGCAACACCTCCAGACACAAGGAGAGATCTGCGCAACAGCAACATATCGCCGGAAGTCGTTGAGGTTTCCCCCCGACGCTTCAAGAAGACAGCCAAGAAACCCAAGAAAGTAAGGTTTGAGTGCGAGGCTTCAGATGTCATGGATATCACGGATTCAGAAGATAATACAAACGTGGTCAGTTCAACAGTCGCACCAATTAATTCTGCCACCACACCAGGAGGTTGTCGCATTCAAGGAAACTCGCCAAGCATAAACCTCGCTCTAGACAGCTTGATAACAGAAGCGGAGAGATATAGCGCAGGAGGCAAGCAAAATGGTGAGAGTTCCGCTGCAACAAACAAATCAATAATGGACATTGTACCAGGATTGTCAACATCCGACGTCGTCGGTGCTGCGGATGTTGCTTCAACATACCCCGTTTGTTGCGCTCAAGACCCTAATTACCACCACAACCGCCTATGGAACTACCCTGATGGACACCCGCTTCTTGAGGAGACAGCATCATTTGACTTAGGGGTCATCACGCCCCCTTGCAACAAGTCAAAGGGCCCAAGCCTGGTTAGCATCGCTGCCATGCGGGATGTCACCCGCAGAGACCTTTTCGGGGCAGGCGACTTTGGAACCAGCACTCCAGGTACTTGTTTCTTTCTTACACACCAGATCACAGGCGCTTGTTCCACTTACCTTGTTTTCTTACAGATTAGGAACAATAATTATGTGTCTGCTGTGAAACAGGTTCAGCCAACCTCGGGACACCATCAACGCCTTTTCACATAGCCAGTGCAAGTCTAGACGGAACTCAACAACGGCAAATCGTTCATGACATATCACCGGTTAGCTGCACAAGGTCTGTGGCAACCGGGATTTTAGACTTTAGAGAAGAGGTGGAGGCAGACTGTGTCAATCTCAACAAGCCGGTAGAGGAAAATTCACTATCTGCACCGCCACCGAAAAGGAGAGTGGTGCCCGGACCTGCCGGACGATCGCCATTCATTATGCAGTACCGTCTGTCTGAAAGGGCGTCCGGAAACGCCACCCACTTATATTTAGTGTTCTCCCAGATGAGTGGTGCAGTGTTAAACAAGTAAGTTTTCATGACCTTTTTCCAATAAAATAGCATGAACACAAGGATGACTAAAAGAACTCACTTACTTAGCATCTCTTCTGCAGCAACTGGGTTGTTAGCCCATACCCCAGTTACATAGAATTGACGGGAGCCATACTGAAGAAGCAGCTTAGCGTTGGAGGGTTCATAGAGATAGATCTAATGAATGTCTTCATGAGAAGATTCCAGCAGCTGGAGAATGTTTGGGCAAGGAAATATGGCGATTCGACCTGGAGGCATTACCCGGAGCCAGATTTCGTGGTAAAAACATATTTTTTTTATTATAGATGTTAGGCACCCCCCCTTCGATGAAAAGTGTCTAACTTTTGTTGTCGTATCCGCCTTTGGTCATCCATGCAGAGCCACGTGTTGCGCGGCGGTGATTTCATTCGTAATGACTACGTAAGGAACATTTTTGTTGGCCACCATATATCCCACGATGTCAACAGATGCCCTATGGTAACACGCCCACATTCGTTTTCTTTAGTAACTGTGAATTGCTACAGAACGCTAACAGCCCCACGCATCATATTCACATCTTTTTTTGTGTTTTAATCTGTGGGGGGTAGATGATATTGCCAGTGCAGCACACACACGCATGGTCTACATATTTCTTTGATTTTCCGAGAAGGAGAACAACAATTCTCGACCCTATGATAAACAATGGAGACAGGCCGGCGGACGAACTCCGCAATGAGCACATAAAGATAGCTCATGAGCTACGTGCAGCGCTAATGGTTTGCATAGCAGAATACTTTGATGGCTGGGCGCCCAAGACGAAAGGGTGGCAAAATTGGTTCCCAAAGCTCACCACTGGACCTTGGGTCTGCAGCCGGTACTATCTCCATGACACTTGGGATAACTACTTGATTTTCCAAATCTTTTTTCAGTGCCCATTTTCATGACAACATATGTGTGCGGCAAACTGAATTTCCAGGGCATCCAGCGGGATCGTCGCACTGCACTACGCAAGGCAATGGATGGGGACAAAGTTACAGCGCACCCTGTCTCCGGTAACGCATGCATCACAGTCTATATGTGTTTGCAAAAACTTGTTGATATATGGCACCAGAACGATGTTTTACTAACTATGCTTCTTGTTTCACACTACAGATAGGGGATGAATTCGATCAGTCCAGGATGATGCTCCTTTATGAAGTTCTGGGACTGGGCGGCAACATCGGGCAACTTCCGGCGAAATTCAAAGTCTGTCAGACAGACTGCTGAAGAAGCGAGCAAACTGGTATGCTCGTAGCAATGGCACTATCATGAACAGCCGGCACGCCCAGGTTGGAATAGCGGTACTGAAAAAAATGATAGCGATCTGCCGCAATTGCCATGAACGAAGTTAGTTCCCCACCAAGTGCCTTTTTCCTCAAGAGGACTCCTTATTATGCATTTTTTTCCTTCGTTGTTTCCATTCGACTATGCTATAAACAGAGATTCTAACTCAGGGCTCATTTTGGTGGAAACGTTTTCCATCTAGACATCATTATCTAAGATTTGTAATTTTTTCCTCATTAATCTAGCAAGGATTGAAAAATGCGAGGAACCTTACATAGTCCATGACAGGTGGCGAGGAAAGCAAAACTAAGCAAATGCGGAATTTTTAAAGCTGCCGTCGGGCAGGTTTCTACGACACAGAGTATTTGTTCCGCGAAAAATACTGCGATGGGTTTTTTGAATTATAGAATATAAAACTTAAGGAGGCATTGAAAATGAACGTTCTGGTCATTGGACGGTTCTATCCGTCAGTCTGATTTTTGGGTGCAAGCAAATGGCGAACATCACCCAGATAGATCATTTTTGCTACCCGTTGAACGAGCATTTGTAGTGACCATCATCGATGGTGGTGAAAAGGTTGCCCATGGCAACATGAGCTCCAATAACAGACCTGAAATCATAACAAGATGTCAAGCACAAAACCGGAAGCTATAGCGTAGGTATAGCTAAACGATGCTGTCCTTTGTCACCTTAGTTGATCCGCATCCGCGCCGGTTTGAGATTGTATGAGAGCGAAAGAAGCGCCATTCTCCAGCTCACTGTTCATTTTCGTTCGGACGGAGCGGATCGATGCAGGTACATGAAGTAAGTAATGAAACAAATCTAATGTTGTACACAAAAAGTTAGGAACACAAACACTTACAGGACCCCTGGATGGTAGAATACTCTCAGCACGTCGTCGAAGAGCCTGTTGTTAATGTCCAAAACAGGAGATGATTGCTCGTGGGCAGCTACGGCCAAGTCCATCCGTCTAATATCATTTTCCCTGTCATTGAACTGCACAAAAACACATGAATACGACAGTCTAACCCGAAACAAACTTGAGATGCTAAAAACTCGAAAGATCAGCCAAAGATTAGTTGACCATGCCTTTTTCCGAAGATCTAAGTGAACATAGATGCACTGAAGGAAGTGATGAGTGATTGCATTGTAGTTTGTCACCACACTGGAATGACAAAAAGTGGAGACATGTGTTCGTGTTAATTCAGTTACAATACACATTTTCAGTCAAAAAACGATGCAACTCCGAACCCAAAAAATGCTTAGCTAAGCTGTCGACGCATACCTCAGCGAGTACACCCGAATGTGTTTCAGGCTACCTTCGGCCTTTATGGATCCGTTCACTATCATGTAGTCGCCATCACTGTTTTTTGTTATTATGGTGTGAGAGTGGAACAGTTCACAACCAACATAAAACAGCAACGTACAGATACGGAAAATCGCAAAACCATATAACCTAACAGAACGCAACGCCAGCATGTACTCCGACTGGGCGGTCCTGAAAAATTGTGTCGCCAAGCACTTAGTCGTTTATCGTCAGTACCTCGTCAACTTTTTCAGAGATTTTGAAAGGGGATCTAAATAAGTACCATATCCTGGCCTGAATGGCTCCGGTGCCGTCGGCGAGGATGAACTCTATCTCCTCAGGCATATCCCTACGGTTAAGCATCCTACCCAGAAGCCGGGCCTGTAGCAACACCGTGTGTGGTTTCTCCGATGAGAAAACTAAGAAACCGACCAAGACTGCATCGCGATCATGCATACCGTGCTGACAGGCGTCCCGTGAATAGACAGCGCCCCCCTGCTCGATAGAAGGAGCAAGCATGGTCACTTGCTTCACAGTCAGAGGGACCAACGTGGGCGGATGATCAAAGTGCTGCAAAAGGAAGATGTATTACTTAGCAGAACAGTCTACAACTCTGAAAACCAAAAAATACGATAGCTGCAACGTAATTACCTGCTGCCCGGTGCTCCGACCGGCTGGAAAACCGACGACGTCGACCGAAGCAGACCTGATTGCTCCTGCAAACAGGCTTTCAGTTCGAACAGCGGCGGCGTGTCGGCCTGCCTTGCATACACTACGATATCCAGACGGATCCATCATAGCTCATGCAAATGAGGCACCGCCAACGTTGCTGCCTGCAGAGAAGATGGAGGCGCTGGCTAAGGGAAGAAATGTGATGACTGAAATAACTGAGAAGAACAAACAATATAGCCGGGAACGCGATGTCATTTATTGCTATCGGATGGACGGTGCGGGTTCAGAGGGCAGGCGCAGTTGGCAGGGGACGTACGTCGATCCGATGGCTGGATTAAAACGCCACCCCCACTACTGAAACATAAAGAGCCGCCCAAAAACGGTGCGGAACCTTGCATAGTGAGTTGACCAATACCCAGAATGGCAGTTTTGAACTTCACCACGGGGCAAAGCAGCAGGGAACTCTTGCTAAATATGAGGGCAGGTGGACCCTGCTCCTGTTTACCGAAAACAGTTTCTGCCGCACTATGCAGCAGAAGAAAGCAGCCGGTGCGATCGCCCCAAAATAGACTGACATGTCAGGGCCTAGGTTTCCAAATGGGGTGCGCGCTAGCATGAAGCTAGGTTTCAGAACTTACCATTTCGGTCGTGGCGAAAATCAACGAATCATTAATTCAGAACCTTATCTTCAGAAGGTGTGAATCTCGAAGTGCGTGGACGGTTCCGATAGCATCCACTC